GTGAAGGGACTAGAGACAATCTTGCTGTGGGCTTGGGTTTACATGATCATGTTTACATGATCTGGGACTCACCAGCACAGGCTGTACCTGCCAGCATGCCCTGGGGATCAGAGAATGCTTGGGAAGCCAGTATGCATGTATATTATTTGTTGTTTGATATTTTCCCTTTAATGCTTTTGTCCTAAAATAAATATACAAAAGTTCAGGGCCCTGCAGGTTGTGTCTGTTAGCAAGAGAAATGGATGACTGAGTCAGTTATTGCTTTGGAGCAATCGATGCTATTTGTTTACCAGGATGGGCAAAGTCTGGTCTCCCTGGACACTTTTTGCTCACAGCTCCTCATGAACCTGCCCCAAAGCTGTCTCGCCACCTTGCCAACACAGCCTTGCCACCTCTCCTCTGCCTCCCTGGCCTTCCTGCTTGTGAGGAGAGCACCCTCAGCTGCGTGGCAACAAGCAAACTGGCTGACATGCTGCTGCACGGGCCAGGGGGTCTCCTGGTCTGTGAGGACAGAGTACTTTGTCAAGGGACAAAGGGGAGAAGGCCCACACTGGATCCCAGCCTGGGGCAGTGATGCTGAGGGACAAGGGGAAGCAGGATGGGCATGTGCTGTGCGCTCTGTGTCAGCGATGCACCCATCGTCCTGGCACCCAGGCCCAAGCAGGGAGTGTAAACAGCGGTCCTGGTACAGAGCAATGCTCACCACATGCATCCCATCCCCAGTGTGCCACCAGGTCCAGCTGATCCCCACACCAGCACAGGCACCCTGGCACAGCCATCCTCCTCACGTACCCCAGCCACAGGAAGATCCTGACATTAGGCTCCCACACTCCAGACCTGCAGACCTCCCCGTTCAGGCTCGTTCTCTCCCTCAGGGGTATGCTGTGTCTGCGTGGGGCTGGGTCAGGCCCATTGTGGCCTGTCCTACCATTCAGGGCTCCCACTGCTGGGAACTGTGTCCCATGTGAGAGAGTCTGGGTTAGACATTTTCAGCAGAGCCTAGCTTGTTTGTCACTTGTTTAACACTGCATTCCCCTTGGAGTCTCACTCAAATATCTCTGGATTTTGCCCTGGAAGAGTGTTGGCTCTGGGATATTGCAGAGCAAACAAAGAGCAGCGATAAAGCGAGAGCATCATCCCATCAGAGCAAACAGAGCTGTTGAACATCCATCCCAGCGACTGCAAAGGCCACACAGGTCCACCACTGCCATGACCTCCCACCCCAGTCCCTTGCTGACCCCAAGCTTCTGCTTGTGCTCCTGCCTGGTAGCGCAGGGAGGCCACGGGCCATCTCCAGCAGGCAACACACTGAATTCCCACCAGATACTGCCTGCATGACCTCAGTGCTTCTCCATTCCTAGCCCGTGCTGCCCTGGTCTCCCCCATCCATGGGATCCCAGTGCTAGGGCTGCCTGTTCCTGTACTCTGTGTCCACAGTGATCTTGTTTTACCCTGCTGATGCTCATGGTACCCTGGGGTCCCTGTCCTCCACCTCCCTTCTCCTTTGCTGTCTCCATTCACTAACCTTGCCTTGGGTCCCCACCTCTCAGTCTGTCCCTGCCATCTCCTGCCAAGTCCATGCTGACCCTGAGCTCTCCATCTCCTGGTGTCCATGCGCGTGGTCTGTCTGCCCCTGCCACCATCCCTGGTCAGTACCCACCACCCTCACTGCCATCATGCCTGCCCCTGATGCAACCCTGAGCCCTACAGAAACACAGCTGACAGCACATCTGGCCAGGGCTCCCCGAGACATGTCTGCCCTGCAGGAGCAGGGGTGAGGGGACCCCAGCCTCTCCCTTTCTCTATGCACAGCAGCTCATCTCCTGCCCAGCCCAGCCTCTGTGGGCAAGTCAGAGCGTGAGCCCAGTTTCCTGCTGTTGTGTCTCCCGTCCCTTGTATAAGTCAGGCTGGGCAGGGCAGGTCTGATCTGGTCTCCTCTCCTCGAGTTTCCTCCTGTCTCCCTTAGACTGCAGCCAAAAAGCAGGATCTTGTGGGGAGAGGTCACAACTGTCCCGACAGCCAACAACTCCTGTTCTGAGGATGTGGAAACAGAGACTGTCTCCAGGGTTGGACCATCTCCCAGCAGTAGCTGGAAGCTGGCTGGAGGTGGGCTTACAAGGAGGAGACCACTGGACCCTTACAAAAGCAGGAAATCGGTGTCATTCTCCTTGAAGAGAAGGTACGACTAGCAGATTCCCCAGAGGAGGTGAGGCCACCTTAGAAAGCAGCAGGGATACCTGGTAGTTTCAGCTGATTCCTTGCAAAGCTGTGCTTCTAGAGAACTTCCCTCTTCCTGCTCCTCTCCAGCCTCTCCTCCCTTTGGGACAGCTCTGCCAGGCCGTCAGCAGCTCCTGCACCAGCAGGACATGAATCGACCAGTGTCCTGGCCAGGGTTTGGCTGAGGGTTCCTGCTCCTAGACCTGCAGCCTGTCAGGTCCAGGGGTATAGGGACAGGGAGGCAGTGAAGGGGGCCAAAGGACCCCCAGTACATCATACATAACACAGCTCACTGATTCCTACCCAGGAGCCCCCGTACTAAGCCGCAGAAGCAAGAATTTGAGTCCGTAGGGGAATAAACGGAGTGCCAGAGGGAGGGGATGGGAGGGAGGCCACCACAGACCAAGTCCCTGGCATGGGCATGGTGCTGGGAACAGCAGGAGCCACCCTTGGGGGTGGCTCACAGCCCAAGGAAGCTGAGCATCCTCACGGGCTTCCGTGTCTGATAGTCTCTTGGAAGCTCCTCTCAAGTTTGAATCCCAAATTCAGCTCGGGCTTTGAGCACCAAAGCTCAATTTGCCAGCAGGGTTTCATTTTTGGTGCTCTGCTGTTTCTACTTGAAGAAATCTCTGGTGTTGCAGAGGATGGGTGGAGATTGGAGAAACCTTCCTGTTCTCTGCAGAAGTTCACCTGAACCCTGAAACAAGAGATTGATTCATCACTGCTTGAATAATTGCTGGGAACTGCAGACAATCTGTTCCCAAGGGTCTGTGAAGGGAAGGGATGAGGTGAAAGACTGGGCCCATGCGAGGTCACTCACACCAGCCCATTCACACATCAGCCTCAGAGTTCCTCCCAGAAGCTGGATTAAGTGGTTTCTTTTTAGAAAAGAGATCTAATCTCTTTACAAAAGCTTGAGCAGTGCTGTGAGCCCATCATCTCCCTGAGAAAAGCTCTTCCAACCTTCAAATGCTTTCACCACCAGGACACAGGTTTTCAATTCAAGGCTGGATCTTCCTCTTTTCAGCTCCAGCCCTACTCTTGTTACACCTTTCTGTGGGATTTAACCGTTTCCCACTATCTTTTCCACTTGGGACATAGGCCAGGTCCTCAGATCACCTGACAACATACTTTTTCATGAGCAAGACATCACTAGACCTGGCTTTCCAGCCTGTGGTCAGGTCCACGGTGCTCCTTCAAGCTCTCCTGGTATCTCCCTGCTTTCCTCCAACTGTGGGTGCCAGACACAGCGCTCCAGCAGTGAGCCATTTACTAGTGCTCCCCTTTCAGACACCCACAGCAGGGCACACCAAATTCACTTCGGGGTACCTGTTCATGCTGATCCATTATTCCTCTTCCATGGACAAATTTGCATCACTGGACGAGGCAGATAGTCCTGGGAGGGCTTCAAATGAGCTCCCCTGGTTGCTGGTTATAAGCCAGTGTTCATATCTGTACCCTGTCTAGGCATGCCTAGAGTCATTGCTTTCCAAGACCTAGCCTGCAGGCTTAGCATGCAAGCTTCATTTCCAGATATTTTTCTGTGTTTATCTGTATTCAGATGCACCCTGACCATTTAACCAGGTGATTCAGCATGAAACCACCCTCGTTCCTTTCTATCTCATCACTCTCGGTGTCATTTTCAAGCTTTACCAGCAAAGATTTCATATCTTCATTTACATCATTGATAAAAATGTTTAATAGCAGTGGACGAAGAACAGGTCCCTGCGGGGAGGTAGGTAGAAATACTGCTACTTACTGATATCTACCCATTAGCAACTACCTCTGAGATCTGCCAGGGAAGCAGTTTTAATCCATCTAATATGTGCCCTGTTAATTCCTTATAATGCAAGTTTTAATCAAAATGTCAGGTGGAAGTAAGTCAAATGCCTCGGAGAGATCCGAGTGTACTATATCAACACAATTGCCTTTCTCAACTAGACCGGTAATCCTGTCAGAAAAATACAACAGGTTTGTGTGACAAGCCCCAGCATCTGTGCCACCATGCTGGCTGTAGCTCCTGATTCTGGGGACCTCACATCACCATTTGTTCCTTGACCCAGGGATCAACGTGTGGACCAAAAAGCCACCGGAGACCAGCAATACTCCCGGAGCAACACCTTGACCCCCTGCTCCTAGCTCATAGACATGTTTCCTCCTCATCTGCAGTGATATTTTGGGGAAGGTGGTCCCTGAGGAAAGACATGAGTTTTTGAGGCTGGATAAGGAGGTCTGTGGGCCTGAGTCCCAAGGGTCTGTCCCAGGAGGAGCTTCCAGTGTGGCAATGGTGGAGCCAGTGTGGCCCTGAGATGCGAGGTGGGCTGAGTGCCATGGGAGGACCACAGTTCAGGGGCTTCCCCGGCTTGCAGGATCTTTCATTCTCCGTCACCACAAAGCCGGGCCAGATCTGCATTTGCAGCAGCCCACAGAAGCTGCCTCTGTTGTCTTATTTTTGTTATTTTTGAGAGGATATTTTAGCGCTGAGCACATTCCCTCCTGTTGCCATGGCAGCCGTGACAGGGGTTATATACCGTGAGAAAAATACCAAAATTAATGAGTGAGTGAAAGTGCAGCCGAGAGAAAAACAAGGTTAAAAAAAGAGTTAAAACAGTAATAAAAACAATCTCCCAATAATTTGGCAGCAAGCGTCCCACAGGCGAGACAGTCAGCGACCACTGGAGCTGTTCAGCCCCTCCACCTATCCCGGTGCCAGGGTCGGCCGCTCGCATCCCATGGCCAGCGCGTCTCCCAGCTGCACTCGCCAGCGTGGGGCGGTCCGAGGGATGCGCTGCTCCCACAGCATCCCGCTTACGCTCCGGATCCGGCTGAAACCGCCCGGCCCCTTCCCCCGCAAACCTGCAGCCCTTCATTACGCGGTAGGCATGCGGAGGAGAAGTTCTTTAATGTGCTCATTTCCTTGCATTTGGGTTTTGAGGATCTTTTTGTTTTTAATTGTAGAAACCAGCGAATTGTCAGAACATCTGTGTTATTAGCATTTGCTGCCCAAATCCGCGCTGCTGCTTCTCCTGTGGAGCCCAGAGCTGATGAGAGAGAGAGAACAGAAGAGCCTTTGAACTCCTTGCAGCAGACGGCAGCCAGGTTGCTGCGTGTGTCTGTTGGGGAGGGGGTATTTATACCCTTGTAAGGTTCATTTGCTCTCCGTGTTTCCCTTTCTTCTCGCTTTCCCAGAGATTTAGCTGGATGCTCTTCCCTCGCAGGCTTTGTTCTTCTGACAAGGCCCCACCGGCACCACGAAGCAGCTGTCTCTGCGTGACGCCAGAGCATCCCGGCACCGGGTACCTGCTGTGCCGGGCAAGCCAGCGCCTCCAGCAGCACCTCCAGGGTCAGTGGCACTGCCAGCACCGGGGGCAGGCGGCTGGGAAGGATCTGGAGGGTCTCACGAAATACCTCTGCGGCCAAAACTGCAATCTGGCGGTTTCTCGTTGCTTATATTGGCCCTGCTTTCTGGGAAACAGAGAAGACAAGGTATGGATCGATGACTCGTACCGTAACACCCAAGCGAAGGGCAGACGGGGAACGACAATGCCAGCAACAGGCTTTCCTTGCTGTCAGAGAGCAAGGAGCTTTGCCAGGCAGCTCCTCTGGCTGTGGAGAGGTGGCTCCTGAGGCTGGGACACTTTTTCCCCCACGCTTTTACAGCCTGGACCTGCCTCTCAGAAACACGCCTGAGCAGAGGCTGCAGATGGCAGGCACCGGTCCCCCAAAAATAGGTGGCATCCAGTGATCTATGTGCATGTGAATCTTCCCAGACAGCTCTCTGTGCAGCGAGGAGCACAGTGTGTGTCTATCGACCGCCTGCGCCTCTTGCAAAATGGAAATCTTTGGTCACCAGCGATCTCTTAAGTTCGCCTTCACGGCTCCACAGATCCTTGGAGATCTTGCCTTGGATCCACAGGGTCACTTGCTCGGTTCTTCCCTCTGCTGAGGCTCTCCAGCCCGCCAAAGAGGGCTGCCAGTGCCTGATAAATCTCACGTTGTCTCCAGAGAGTTTAATTCCCTCTCTCTGTCCAGAACTCCGGCTCACATTAGATCAACAGGGTAAATCCTGACAAACCCCGCAGCTGCTTTCCCTGCCCTTCCACGGTGGGCTTTGACCTTCCCTGGGTTCTCACTTCACGTGTTCTTCTAAATTGGCTTCATGAGAATTGACACCCAGAAAAAAAAAACAAACAACTCCACACAGACGCAGAGAAGCTGACGTTTCTGCAGGAGCAGAGATGGCCCTGCTGCAGGAAAGTCTTGGAGGAAAGCAGGGTTTTCCACCCAGCGGGGACAACTCTCCAGCTCCTTTCTCCTGCCCAGCAGGAAGCAGCCCTTGCAGGGGCTGAGCTCGCTTCTTGCGGGGGACAAGCGGGGCGATTTGGGCTGAGCCGGAGCCAGGGCTCCTCGGAGCAGGCCAGCACAGCCTCTAGATGGTGCAGTCATCGCAGCCGAGCCGAGCATGTGTGCAGCGAAGGGAGCTGCGCAACAGGTTGGCGTAGCTCAGCGGAAAGCAACGCTCCCATCCTCGCGCTGCGGCGAAGCGGAACGGACTTTCCAGCATCCTGGCGAGAAACCTGCGCTGCAACCGCCCGAGAAGGCGGGCGCTGCTTGGTGAGAGGTCCTGCAGCCCGTGGGTGCCTGGTCCTTGCAGGGAGCTACCCCAGCATCTCCATCAAAGAGCGCTGAGGCCTTCGGCAGGGCCAGGCTGCAGATCCAGCCCGCTGGCAGGGCACACTGGCTCTCCTTGCGGGAACACCGGGGCCCGGGGAGGCATCGAGGGAAGGGGCACGCCTGGAGCACGCTGTCCCCAGGACCCCGGGACTTGCGCTCTCCCATCCCAAGTCCCACGGGGACCAGCAGGCAGGTGAGGACCCATCTGAGGCAGCAGAGCTTGCGAAGGCATCGCAAGGGCAGCCGGGAGCTCGCGGGTGCTTTTGGGAGCTCGCAGGTGCTCTCTGCACCCTAGCCCAGACACCCTGCAATAAAACCATGACTCACCGAGGTGTGACCGGAGGTGACAGTTGCTTTTCCAGGCCCCACTGCCTCACCCGGGCAGGGCTGCCGGAGCCGCACTGCTCGCAGCCTGC